CCATCTTTCAGCAAATGTGGGCTGCCTGGCCATTCTCAAACCAGGATTCCCCAGGTTACCCGTTTGGCAAAGGGCACAGGGCGCAGAAACAGAAAACCAAGGCTTTCAAGCAACCCATCCCAGTGCTCGAAAGCCCACCATCCACCTTCGACCTCCGGACGCCGAGACGCCCAGCTGCGGCACCACGGCGCTTTTGCCGCGGCCCCTGGGGCAAATCTCGCCCCACTCCGCGAGCCGCAGGCCCTTCTTCTCGCACAAGGACGCGGCCTGACGCAGACTCCGTGCCGAGTCTGCAGCGCCGGCGCTTTTCGATCAGAGATCCGCTCGTGGGCTCCACGTGCCCCAAACCGAAGAACCCACCACCACAGACTTGGATTTGGAGTCCCGCTTTGGAAGACATGGTCGGGGAAAGCGCCAGAAAATCCAATTGGGGTACCCAGATTGGTTCCATTGTTGGAGGTACACCAGATAAAGTAGGTGGCAACATGTCCTTTATGTGGACAGAACCAAACCAAAAAGGAGGCATTGTACCATCTGCTTCCACCCAAGTTCAGTTTCGTTTCGACCGGCGCAAGCCTCCGTCCAGGAGCCGTTCCAGTGCCGATTGCTGAGCTTGAACTCCTCGAGGTTCGCTGGCAGGTCGTTCTCGCAGCCTCAGTTCGCTAGACACAGCTCTCCTTATCAGGTCATTGCATGTACGTGTCGTTTGGGTACGTGTCAACTAAATGAATAGCGTCCCTTTGATTTCCCCATAAGGCAACCCATCAAACTGCCATCCTCGAGCCACACTGCACTCTGTGTTTAGGCGCAAATGAAATGCAATGCAAGGCAGCGTAATGCAATGTATTGTACATATCCAAAAGGCAGATGTTGGTTGTTTCGGTCAGGCAAAAAGGGAGGAGATCTGAAGGAGTATGGGCATTACTGCACCAAGCATCCTGAAAGATTCCCCAATGGATTGGTCTTTGACTCCCCAAAAATTGGAAAAATGCTAAGAGGGGGAAGTCACACATGTGAAGACCAAAAAGCAAAAAAAAAAAAAAACTTCTTCGGCCAGCAAGTTACATGGGTGCCCTTCTCCCTTTTCCGCTCCCATTTGTTGTCCTGGTATGAAACCTCACAGGAGGGTCCGGTTTACTGCAGCCCTCGTCTCAACGTTTCCTCCCTGGCTTGTCGAGGCACAGTACACAAAGCCGTTGAAGGGCTTCACCTGGCGACTGCGGCGGGGTCCGCAAAAAGGCCTTGAGTCGCAACCAAACACGAAAAAATAAAAAGAAAAAAAAAACTTAAGTGAGCAAACACGGTTTCACCCCATGCACGGAATTTAAGTTGGTTGAATCGCCCAGATTGGCCGATGTCCGTTTTTATGTGTATATAATTATCTATATTTAGTTATTTGTTATTATTTATTTGTTGTATATATATATATGTATATATAAGAGGCGCAAATCTCTTTTGGGCACTACACTTTTTCATTCCAAACCCCCCCCCCACCATTGGTCAAAAATCGCTGCCGCAAAGACACTCAATCCGAATCTGCAATCTTTGCAACTCCCTGAACCTGAAACGAGGGAGCCGCAAGTAAAAGACCTAATGTTGACCCCGGATATGGGTGGGGACCCCTGCAAAAGCGGTCCGAATCCACGCAAAGGGACACCGACATCATGGGTTGTCTGCTCATTTTTACTTTTTACTCCCAACTCTACCATTTGCTCAAGCCCCCAAAAAGCAAAATCAAAAAGCAGTGCTGCAAGATTCCCTTTCAACTCAAGAAAGGGAAAACACAAGCATAGAACCCAAGAAGGGAGAAAGACACATATATATATATATATATGTATATATTATGTATGTATATATATATATATTATGTATATTTGTTTCAGCACATGGACGGCATCTGAACTCGCCGGACCGCCTGGCCCCAGCCCTGGAAGTTCTTCACCTTGCCGTGGCAGTCGCTGGAGATGAGGCAGCACAGGTCCCCCACGTGCCGCGTCCCCACCTGCGCGAAGCAGGACGCTGGTTCAGGGAAACCAACACTTTGACAAAGAAGCCGTTTGGGTGCCCAAAAAGTTGATGCGCAATAATACTTTTTTGGAGTTGGTACCCGTTCGGGCTTTTGTGGTTGGCTGAAAGGGCAACCGAAAACAAAGCCACCCATGTGCCGCGTGCTCGCAAGGGGCGAGAAGAGGGCGGGAGAAACCAGGTCGCCCTCTAGCCACTCTTTTGGTCTGTCTAATGCGTTTACCTTTCAAAAATATCGTACCACTGAATGGCTTCCTTCTAGTCTCCCTTAACTTGGTGGTTTTCATTCGGCCGCCCTTGAAGATCAACCCTTCAAGGCAAAAACGGGTTGGTTTCAAGAACCAGCACAGCCTGATCTCGAAACTGCCATGAAGCCTGCAAAACACTACAAAAGGAAACAGTTTTGGAAACCCTCCATGCTTTCAGCAGGGACACGGGGGATGGTCCCATCTTTCTCCAGAAGTGTTTGTTACAACTGCCTCCCAGATGCAAAGGAAAATGAAAATTTGCATCCCCCAAAGCCAGCCAATGCAGCATATGACCCCGGCCAAGACTAATTGATTTTTGAAGAGGACACCATCCCGCTTTTCTTTTAAATGCCCCCCCCATGTCCTGCCAAACATGGTGTGCATTGCACACCTGGCTCCATGATTAAAACTGTGTGGGGCGAAGGTGCTGCCTCCCATCGGAACCCTTAAAGTCCAAATTTCCGAACAAACAGCTCATGGCCATGCGTAGAAGCCAGGGGTCTTTTGACCATGTCGCACCGTGGAACGAGATCTGTTCAGCTCCCAGACCAAGACTTTCCGAAGGCCTGCGCCCATTCCACCGGATTGTCTGGATCGTCCAGGTTGCGCACTGGCGTCCACATCTCGTACTTCCTGACGCGCGACCCAAACCAAAACACACCATTCTTCAGGCTTGGATTTGTTTGCAGCCCCCATGCCTCAAAGGGCATTGTTTACAAGCACTGACCTGCAGGCTGAAAGGTGACATGCTGCGCCACCTTTGGAGGGAAGAGGCGACAAGCCACAGCCAGGGCCTCTGTGTGCTCTTTGTGGGCCCAGCCGGCTGCAAAAAACAAAATAGAACCACCCGATCTGATGGTTATCCCTTCATCCAGGCGGCTTCTGACCGCCCGGGATGGCCGGCTGTCTCGAGCGCCCTGAAGGGCACACCTGGCGAGTTCGCGAGTTCGGTTCGGTGGCCATGCCAGCGCTCAAGCATTCCCCCGCCGAATTGGGGGGTCTCAAAATGGCTGTGGGTCAAAAATCTGGCAACCCAAAAAATGAAACCCTGGTAAATGGAAACATGGACTAAAACCTGTGGTCCCCTTGTGGTTTGATTTTGACCCACACCCAAATGTCGGCATCGCTTGTGGACCTTTGATGGACCCGGACTTCATTCAAAGTAATGACTCATTCACTCGGCCAGTTGACACCAATCGCAAGCACTCACCTTCTTGTAGTCGCAGAGCTGCTTTCCCTGGCGCGCAAGGCATCACGGCATGGAAAGTGGATCGCTGAGACAGGAATAGGGTCGAGCTTGGGTGAACGAGTAAGTGCATGAGTCATTGAAAACATGTGTGGATAGTGCGTCAATAGTGCGTCAATAGCGCGGCAATAGTGTGGCAATAAATTATTGTGCATCACTGTCAATGAAAGGAGGCCAAAGTCCAAGTCCCAGTCAAGGGTAAAAACACGTACACAAGTTGAGGAGCCCCTCTCAACAGCACAATTTTGGGCTCTGCACCAATGGCTTTGGGCGACCATTTTAGCCTTCTAATTGGTGGCCCCTTTGGGGTCTCATGGAACAGACACCCGAGATTCTCCAAGCATCCTGGGCTTGGAGCACGGGCGGTTTAGCTGTGCCTTCAGAGGTCCCTCTGTGTCTCCGAAACCCATACCTCAAAAGGCCTGTGAATCCATTCTTCCGTCCACTCTCTCCTTGAGTCATGACGTTGCCATGAAAGTTGGTTCCTGGTTTCGCTGTAAGCTGCAAAAGCAGCCAAAACACCACCTGAGAACTCCTGTGTCTAGTTCGACGCCTTTTTGGGAGAAGCCAGGCTTCTCGGCCTTTCAGCCTGGCTGGATCATCTGAGTATCCCGTATCCCTGAGATGGTTCTGGGCAGATTCGAGTGAGATATCCCATGTGAGCTCCTTGATCCGCGAGGAAGCAAACCACCCGGGGCGTTGCCAGAATGGGCGTGGAACCCACCCGCTTGATCATTTCATCCCTCGTTGGGCATTCGTGCCTTTCGCAGCTGGAGTTTTCCAGCCAATCAAAGGGACCAAAGTCAGATCCGACCAGCTCCCAACTGCTCCAAAGCCGGTCGAATCCAATGCTTCTCAAGTCATGGGGCACCCCTGGCGGATGCCTTCTCGGAAATTCCCCCCACGATTCCCAACCTTTAGGACACCTTGCATGAAACAACTGGCAACGGAAAAAGCCAACGGAGAACCCCCCCTTTTAATCCAACTCCCTCCCATTGGTGGTTTGGCGCCCGCCGGTTTGGTTGAGGACTGTTCTCATTTACCCTCTACAAGAAGGGGGCCAAATAAAAAACAAAAACACTGACCCACTGGGGGATACCTGATCAACCAGGGTCCTAGTTCTACAGCAAAAGACTGCGGCACCGCGCCTTGGCCCTACAGTACTCGTCCGCCTTGTTCCAGGTGCCGTCCGGCCAGGTGTCCCGGGTGAGCGGATTCTCCTAGCGTAGGATCCGCGGCGGAGACTTGGGCGGTAGCCTCGCCGTTCCATAAACGCGTGGACAACTATGTACTGTTGTGGCCACCCAAAACCAGATGGGGCCTCTTCAATGTGGAAAACTAGGGAGATAAATTAACCAACCCCTACAAGGGTGCAGACATGATGGTCCTTGGGTGCATGCGATCGGAACGTCCCCTGATTCATCCCATCCAAATGGCCCCCGGCGGATCCGATTCCAATCGCCGGCTCCGCCGAAATGACTTCAGCCTCCGAGTTTTCCTCTCCGCGATACATCCCTTGTGAACATCGGAAGAGGCCACCGGTTCTTAAAGCAACCTCCTTTGGACTTGGAAGGAAATGCACCAGGAGCAAATCCCGGTCCGGGACCGACCTTAGGGACCCCTGGTCAACCCGGCTACCCTGTCCTCCACCCCCGAGAAGCCCTCCGGGTCCTGCCGGGGCGAAGAAAAAAACGTGCCAAGAACTGGTGGCTGGTCCTGACGTGGATCCTTGGATGTGAAAAATTCCACATTGAATGGTTCATGTGATAGTCCTGAGATTCAGGATGTGCATGGAAGATTGTGGAATTATCCTGACATGTTATTAACATGGGAACTTCTGAATGTCAATTGGATCCTTTGGTGAACATCGACCATTTTAATGCATATGTCCAGGGGTAAAAGTGTGCAGCTTTGGCTGGAGACCGGAATCTTTGCCATGAAAAACACACATTCTTCACAGATGTTCGCCTTTTGCCCCGCCACCAAGGTGGCCGTATCCAAAGGATGCCCAAGTGTAGGGAGCCTCCTGAAGTGGCTGGGCCGTTGGTTGCACAAGAGAACCACATGGCCAACCTGCATCTTCTCACATTGGCATGGCGTCATGGCATTGCAAGGCGCCCTCTTAACAGTTTGTGGGGCGGGCCGGGGCGGGCAGGTAGGTAGGTCTCTAGGTCGAGTTCTTGAAAAGGTCGATCTGACTTTTTACTTAGGTCGCGGTACTGCAGCGCCTCAACACGGCAACTTCCGAAACCCCATCAACAGTTTTGGCCCCAAGTGGAGGTGCGGTTGACGCAACGAACAGCAGCTCAATTCGCATGCCAAAACGCTGCTCGGAGCAATTTTGGATGGGGACTGAATAGTGCGATTTAAGCAGCGGGTGTGGGTGGCGGGCATGACACAACAGTTCTTCCAGACCCTGACTTCAGGATTGCTAGGTCGAAGTCACAGTGAGGTTGGAGTGACCTCGCTGTGATTTACCGAGAATCATTCTTGCTGGCCGTCGATCCAGTTGCAAGCTCACTAGACTTCAACCACACAAACACGCGAACACACGCACACGCACACGCACACGCACACGCACAGGCACATGCACACGCACCCGCACCCGCACACGCACCCGCACCCGCACCCGCACCCGCACCCGCACACGCACGCACCCACACACACACACACACACACACACACACACACACACACACACACCTGCTCTGCCGCAAAACGCTCCCCTCCCTGCGAACCTCTTCCTCGGTGCTTCCCTCTCGTGCGGGTCGCGACTCTACCCGCACCAGCTTATGGATCTCTCCTGGCCGAGTTCGCATCTGGGAAACAGCCAACTTGACATTCCAAAGCTGGAACGACTCAACGCTTCAGCAAAACTGTCACTCCCTGTCGCGATCGGAGTCCCTCATGGCACCCCAGAAAGCCTCGCTGGAGGACCGATGGCGATCGACCTCCGACCCATTTCATCCTCATGCCAGGTGAATCAGCTGAAGGTTTTTCACACTCACTCACCCCCCCCCCGTTGAGGAAAAAAATGGGGTCTTTTGCCAACCCCAATAAGACCAGAGCGCTTCAAAAAGGGGCTGAGAGAGAAAAGTTCGGTGAAAAATTAACCTTTGATGCAGGCCCATTTTTGATTCCTACCGACAGTTGTGCTTGGAAAAACAGGAGTTGACCCACCCAGCCCTCCATACAATTGACTCCCGTTCCGCAATTCGGCAAAATGTCATTTAAAAAAAATCGGGAAGAAACAACCATCTTATTTGGGTCAAAACCAATGGTACCATTTTGGGGTAGGCGCACCACCCATTTTAGTCTATTTTAGTTGAGATTGGGATGTCCACCTCTCCCCCCGCCGTATATGATTCCCTTTCGGTGGGATCGGAAGGTATTCCCCAAACCAAAAGTCCCAGGGGAAACCCATCCATTTCCCGTCCGCCGCTGCCGACCGCCACATCTACGCCGGCCAGTGGTTCAAAGGTCAGGTACAGCAAGCACAAGAACCTCGGCATATGCACAAAAGAGAAGGTGCCTTCTTTGAACTGAGTGCTTCAGATCCCAGAAAAATCGGATTTTGACATCAAGATGCAAGCCTAAGCTGGGCGGCCCTTCTGAGAAATAGGACAAGTGCATGCCAATTCCAAGAGGATGCGCTATATATTTTTGGGGGAGGCCAGAGATTTGTCGAAGAGGGCCAGCCAAAAGGAACACCCCGAGCCCCACACAAAACTAAATATCAACCTCAAGAGCATCCATCTGCCAGTCTGCCAGTCTGCCAGTCTGCCAGGGCACAGCATGGGGTGACGGCACATACGGATACATTTGACAACCTGACAACCGAACCTGAAGCCACAGCGGCTGCAGAGAAAGCGTCGTGAGCTTACCACTGGAATCCGTGGAATGGGGGGGGGGGGGCGCGGAAGTTCTGGGAAGGGCTCAACCCTGTGCCGAATCCTGGGGCAGGTCTGATGTGTATACCTTTTGCCTACGTAGACCCATTTTCTGTAGGCAGAGGCTTCGAGGCTGTCATCGTAGCCATCCCGGAAACCTTCCTCCGATCCTTGGAGGATTCTCCCACATCAAAGCCTCGAATTTGTGCGGCAAATGGCGCGACCGCCCTAGATGTGGGATCAAAGTGTTCGGCGGGTTCAGGCAAAGCTTTAGAGAATCTGAATCAAATTGTCTATTCGACCATCCCCAGTCTTCCAACGGGGATGCCTCTTTTAAACTTATCGTTTTCTGTTTGTCCCCTTACCGACCGCCAAAACGGAGGTTCAGCCCCAAACAAATGCCCATGAGTTGCCACTTCTGCAAGGATGCAGAGTCACAATGCCACCCGCTCCACCTGCACCTGAGCTTTGCCTCCGTCCGTCCGTGAGGCTTCGGTCGCTTTGGACCGTCTGAATTGGTGAGACCCGAGTGTGTCTCAAACCGGGCGGAAGGGAAACCAAGGAAAACTCTACCCAAAAACCTAGTGTGTCTCAACAAAGGGAAACCAAGGAAAACCAAGGAAAACCAAGGGAAACCAAGGGAAACCAAGGGAAGCCTAGCGTGTTTCCCAAATTTTGCTCCAGGGAAACTCTACCCGAACCTTCGGTTGGTTGGTTGCGGTTCCCTCCTTTAAGAAAAACACCAACCTGGAGGTCGCGAGAGGTGGCCGGCGCTTACCATTGATAGTCTTGCTCCCTGTAGATCTCATCAAAGACCTCGGGCTCCTTGGGGCCAGGAAAAGCAAGATCTCCTGGCTTCGCATGAGGTGCAGTACCCCCAATGGCAACTTTCCCGTCTCCTTCTGAAAAAACAAGCATGGTCCAGCTGCGATTGCTTGTTGTTTCTTCTTTGGGTGTTGAGAGCCTCTCCTCGTTTTCAGGGGGGTTCTAAGAGACCTCGTGTGGAGGTCTAGCAGAGCTGGCCGTTTTTGGTTCTCATGGGTCCCGTTGGTGGACAGCGTTCACATGGGAGTTGATGTCCACCGAGCCTTTGGCACTGCATTCCAACCATCAAAATTCAAAGGCATGTGAGCGGGCAAAAGTTACCGGTACCCCCAATGGAAATGGGAAAATGAGTGGGTCTCCCCGACTTTTGCAGAAAAAATGTGAGTTCCGCATGTGCTTTGACCAAGCTTCATCTTGGTGAAATGGGGAAAACCTTTCCCTTCAGTTGCCCTTCAACACCACCCAACACGGCCCTCAAAAATTGACACTTGCAGGTGTCTGGTGTCGCTATCTGTCCTGGCTCCACCTTCTCCGCGTAGCAGTTGGGCTCCACCTCGAGAAGAAACAAAAGGGAGAAGCCCCCCCCCTTCCAGCCTAGGAGGAGGCAACATGAACAAGACGCACAGTTTTACTTGCGTATTCTTCTGGGGGGCACGGATTGTGCAGCATGTTCAAACAGCTTATGAGTTGTTTGCCAGTCTTTCGCAACAGTGAAGCCGGTTCATGTGTATTTCAAATCGAAAACCAACAGCCAGCAATTCGAGCTCTGACTGAGGGTGATTGTATTTCCCAATCAAGGTACTTAATAGGTGAAGAAGGAGTCACATGGTTTTCTAGAAGATACAATGATTCATCTTTTCTATGTTGCTGGTGTCCTGCCACTTTCCCTTTAAGCATCCGCCAAAAGGGGATCAAGGCACACCCTACTGCAAAAAAGGATATCCTCGCCCTCACGTCGCTGGTGAGATCGCTGTATGCTGTTCGGTAAGCTTTATTACTTTCTTGCTCCACTGGGGTTCTCGGACCCCAACACTCCCTTCTGGCCAGCTGGCCAAAAAAAAAAAAAAGTTGTCGGCCAAGTAGCCCGCAGCTCCTTGAGCTTGTTCCTGCCGATGACGCAGTGGCTGATGCAAGTATCGAAACCTGGGCAGTTAAGCGACTTCAAACCCAAAGCGCTGCAGCAAAGTGTGGATCAAAAGCATGCGCCAAGATGGTTGCGTGGCTCCCAGTGCCAAAAGGGTCCATGGCACGGCCGAACAGCACAAAATAGCAACCCTAAGGGTCCTCTCCAGGATGTCAAAGGCCCGGTTTCTTTTGCTGTGTTTATTGGGAACCCTTCTCTCTGGCAGCAAGAAATGTAGATCCCGAAACCCACGTTGCATGCTGGGGCGCAGTTCTGGTCTCGAGAGAAGTGCTCGGTGCACTTGTCCTGAAGCTGAGTTCTCAGAAGGACGTTCTTCACCCTCCTAAACATTTGGCCCTGTTTATCGGACCCCATCACAGAGCAGTCGGTCTGGTGAAGAAAGAAAAGCACACAACAAGCTCCTCATGTGTTCCTCGCATGAATAAACATCCACACCCACCTTGGGACCGAATTTCGCGTCCCCGTTTTGCCCAGATCCCCGTTTTGCGCCTCGCAGGCCTCGTAGCCCGCCATCTCGCAGGCCCTGGGCTCCCCGGGCGGCAGCTTCTTCTTGCAGGCCACGAAGTGCCGCTCCGCCTCGAGCTTCCGGCGCTTTCGGCGAGTCGAGCGGGACGGCGAAAAAACGAACCCAGACCGAACTCCCGCGGCTTTTTTTGGGGGCGCAAGAAGCGCTCCCCCCCACCCTCCTTCCCCCCACAGTCGATGGTGTTCTCCTTGAGCTGTTTGCTCCCCCCCTTCTGAGGCTGGCTTAGGAGACCAATAAAAAAACTGCCTTGACTGGTAAGCCCAATTTCTTCCTGCTTTGGCAGAGCCTGAGTCCATCCATTCAGTTGCGAAGAAGAGAGACCAACGAGACGCACCGTGTGTTTGAGAGTGGATGCCCTAACTGTTGCAACAATTGTGATTTACCAGGCTTTTTTTTGGTTGAACGTGGTTCACTGGCAATATTTAGAACATCAGCCCCATACACCCAAACACCCCTTTGGCTTGTGCCAAAGGGAAACCAGCAGAAACCGCCCCGATATTCGGGCGGCTTCCCCAATTTTAGAACACCCGATTTAGGAGACGGACCACCAACTAGTAAACCCACAAATACCAGAGACATGTTATACTACCTGTGTTCAGGGGTCAGGACATTTTGTCGACCCTCTTCAAATTAATTGGCATTGTTGTGGGGTGGGTTGCATATCAGTTTTGCAGAGACTCATCTTTCTGCCTGACAAAAGGCCAAGATCCAGCGTGAGGCCATCCCTTGATCAACAAAAAATGAGTCATGAAAGTCGAATTTTCGACTTGAGCGAAGGGGGACAACGATGCTTCGGATGATTCCAGGGTTCCCTGATTTCCTTTATGCAGCCCCTGCTTTGCGAACCCCAATCCAGTTTGTTGACCTCTGGACCTTTTGGCTTCTGGGCCCAAAAAAAAACGCTTGGGGCCGAAGGTCAACGCATGGACTGCCTGGAACCCGCCTCCTTCTTGGCCTCCGGGACCTTGTCACTGGGCGCGGGCACCTCCTCCTTTGGGAGGAGGGCAGGTTGTGGTTGGGGGAAGCTGGCAGTGCTCCCGGCTTGGTTTCGAGTCCAGGGAGATGGGTGGGTGAAAGTGCCAACCTGTCGCGGGTTGAGGCACTGGTGGGGCCACCGCCCCTGGAGTCCAGGGCGAGTGCAAGGGCGATTACTATGTGCTAGTGACGCTGGGTTCGGACGTGAGGGATGGGATTCTATCGGGCTGACGGCCGGTTTAGGCTTGGTGGTGGGGCTGCATGCAAACGGCGCAACCCCAATGCAAAGTTCAGCATGCCCTTGACTTGCTGTAAGTACTGACATAGAGGGATGTTGTGTGCTGTCTACTTCCCCCTGTATGGGAGTCAGAATCAGAACTTGGTATCAAGGGAGTCTACCCAAAAAGCTGGTGTCCATAGTGAGTGTCCGCTACTAGCGTCCCCTGTTGGAGAGGTCGTTTGTATGCAAGCTTCCTTGGATGCATTGAGAGACACGTCCTGAGGTCCAAATCCAAACCAATACCTGATGCGAGGACTTGTTGCGTTTCCGCGAGACTCGCAGAACAACAGACCCGACCAGTGAGCTGGACGCCCGGCTCGAAAATACGACCTGTTAATCAACCCCTGGGTTCCGAAACAACTTCCTGCAACAATTGAGAGCTAAATCCAATTGAGCTTACCCAATTTCGAAGGGTGTGGGCGCTCGGAAGGTGGACATGGGATTGTCCAGCAACCATTTGGGAGGCCAAAAACAGGTCGTGACAATTCGGGTCACGAATGCCCTCCAGTGTTACACATGTATACATTCCTCAAAAAGATTTCACACCCTCTCCTCACGGTGCACCACGTGAGGCAGCGTTCAAAGTTACTTCTTCCCAACATTGGAGAGTTCGGGGCCCAGAGTTCATCCCTTGGTTCCCGTAGCTTGAAGAGCTCTTCCCCCTTCTCGTCCCTCCCAAACGGGACGAATTCTCGCTGGAGGAGCCCCGTCTTCCGTCCCCGTCCTCTGGGGCCGCCTTCGCCTTGGCCTCCACTTGGAGCTCCGCCTTCACCGCCGCCTCCCCCATCTGAAGCTCGGCCGCCTCCGCGTCGTTGGCCTGGGGCACCGGGGGTATGGTTGCTACCGGGGCGAGCGGGGCTGGCCTGCAACATCCACTCTTTGCGTATCCATAGCAGTGCGAAAGTGAAATTGTGAGAGTGGGATATGTCGTACACCCTTCTCTAAACCCAGGTGTTGGCTGCTCCCATCACGTGGCTGGGGATTCAGAGTCTCCACACTTTCGAGGCCAAGCTCCCTGTTGAGTTCATAGCCAGGTGGTTTCCCTTAAAAACTTGGAACACAACTAAGTAGCAGTTGAATTTCAAGGGAGCTTAGGGAAAGAAAACTGCCCTTGGCGTCCTGGTTTCCCTCTGATTGGGTTCCCTTGACACAAAACAGTGTCTTTTTTGTGGCTTCAAAGGTACAAAAAACATACAGCAACCTCACCGAAAACAGGTGTCCATTTGGTTTCCCGCACAAAGCCACCAAACCAAGCCTTATTGGGCAATGTGCTAAAATGTTGGCTTGCGTTGGATCTGCCCATAAACCAACCTTGAAATTTGAAGCCCGGCAACTGGAGATGGTAGGGTGATCTGCCCTTCGAATTCAATCCACCGATCCAGTCTGCCAATTGGGGGTTGCCTGACTCGAGTTGAAGCAAAATGAAACACAAGGATTAGTCGTACCTAAATCAACAGCCAGCTATGGTCACAGCAACTGCAAAAACAAGCACGCCGTGGTTCCGACAACACGAGGGAGGAGTTTTTGTTGCTGCTCATTTGAGATAGATGTTTCATCCGGTGTATGTTCATGATGTAGCATCAGAGGAAAAAAAAACAAAAACAAAAAAACAAAAACAAAAAACACCCGACCAGCTGCTGCTGCCACGGTCTTGGCCCTGGCTCGGCCGCAAATGCCCCGGGCTTGAATCTCCGAACTGCTCGCTTCTCAGTGACGGACAAAACCTCGGGCTTCGGGAGTGAAGCCAAAGGGTCCTTTAAAGGAAACCACCAGTTGGATGGTTTTTTCCAGGGGTCAGTCCATCGCTCATTCCCTGCCTATAACCAGCCCATCTCATGTGAGCTCATTCCCCAAACCAATTGAGAACCTTTTTTATTGGAGCCTCCGAACCGGAGCCGCCCCAGCCTGAAAGGCCGCTGGTGACCGAGCTAAAGAGGCGCCTTGCCAGCGAGTCACTTGGTGTGGTGGTTCCACCACGAAACTTCAGCATGGTTTGTCTAAATTCCCTATGAGTCCAATCCCAAGTAACCCCAAAGGGTGTTTTGACCATTGCACGTTTCGGCGGAATCTCAGAAAGTCAAGGATCTGTTGGGTAGTCGAAACTTCTTGGTTTCAGGTTGCCACTTTGTGTGATACAGGGATCCCGTGATGCAGCCGCTATCGTTTGTCATAACCAGGTCTCTGGGTTTGTCTTATAGACCCCAGAAAGTGTTGACGTTCTGCTTGCTGGTGCGATAGCCTTGGAATGACCGAGTCCGGGTCTTGAGAAGGCCTCAGTTGTGGGGATCCAAACATCCATAGGTTGGATGGCTCTTTTCTCAGGTCATTCCATTTCTCATGTCTTGCCCATAGCAGCAACTTCGGGGTGACGCCAAAAACGGAGAGGACACCGCGGCCGCCTCTTTGCGGCAGCTCCAAGAACGAAGCGGCCCGAGGCCTGTGGAGCCTCGGTTGCCCAAACGAAGCGCCTCTTGACAGGCCCCGGAGGCTGGTTGGTTGCTGGGAAGCCAAAAACAAACGGAAACAGGTGGCTGGTTGCTTTTGGACACGAAAGGAATCCAGAAACATATGTGTTGCCTTTGGTCACCCGATTCTTCGGCTTGCTTGGGTGTACTTAGAGTTCACACAAAGCAAGCTGATCAAGCTGCTGGCAGACTCCATCAAAACACGCGCCACGACAGGAAGTATGAGAGGAAATGGAGGGCCCGGTATTCCCCGGCCCGTGCAGAAGACCTGCCCTGAGGGCGTCCGGTTCGTTAGCTTCAACGTTCTTCGAGGGGGCCACCCCCACTTGATCTGAAATTTGAGACACATCTGTGGCAAGTCGGAAGCGCTTCCCAATTCCTTGGGCAGGCTGGCAACCAGCTTTCATGATCCCGGCGCTTCGCAAAAATGAACAGAACCAAAGAGGTGTAGAGGGAAACCTGATTTATAGGGTGGTCCACCAGCCACATCCACCAGGGTGTTCCCAAAACTGGGACCCCTGAAAACGGGCCTTCGGCTCCCATGTCCAGCACGCATCGCACCCAAGGAGCTCAAGATTTGGGGGCAATCCCCTGGGGTTGTCTTCACTGTCCTACAGTTTATCTGGTCCGTCAATGAGACACCCTCAAAATAATCTCGCAGAAGGCACAACTCGCTTTGACGGAAGGGCCTGACTCAACCAAAATGGGCTGACATAGTTGCACCCAGCGGTATCGTCCCCAGGGACTACTCTGTATAGTCAACTTAGTTGGTGTTTTGTTTGTTGCATCAACTTGCTGGTGCGATAGGTAGGGAATGAGGGAATGTTCAGGGGGTCCCCTTAAAGGAAACCACCCGTTGGATAGCATATAGGGGTCATTCCATTCCCCACTGAAAACCCACCTGTTGGATAGTCATTCCCTCCTTCCCTACTTGTCGCACCAGCAAGTCAACCGGTTGTTCGAACTGGTTTTCTTCCAGGAAACCCACCCGTTGGATAGCAACCGAGGCACGGGAGGCTCGGCAGCAGCAAGTTGGAGGCCTCGAGCTCGGCTCCCCGGCACCTCAGATCCGGCGAGCCTCAAGGAAACCTTTTGGGGTCCTGGCAACAAACCAAACGTGACCTTGCAAACCTGACCCAGGTTGGCTGGGGGTGCATAGATTCTTAGATCATTTGGGGGATGCGTATGGAAAAAAGAAAAAAAGACTTCTCGACACGAGCACTCGACCCCCTCCGCGCCTTGGCTGGCCCCAGAGATCCCAGTGGGGCGCCATGGCGCTGGCCAAAAACACGGCCCGCGAGCGCGCGGGCCGGGCACGCACCCAGCCAGGGCTTAGGGCGGTTCAGCGAAGTCAGGTCCAGGGCACAAGAATCGAATTTCACCCAAAAAAGCCCTCGGCTTGCAGCTTGCGAATGAAGTTCCCCTAGCCCGACTGAAGCCAAATTCGAACCTCGCGAAGTGACACGCAGGTGTTCAGCAAAGCCGATTTGATTGCTTTGGGCTTCGGGCTTGAGCTGGAGATGTGCGCGGCAAATATGTCATGGCGAGCTCCTTTTTGCGCAGAATCACTCGTGTCCCAATGAAAGTGCGCAACCCTTTCCAAGCGCTGAGTTACTCGTCTTTGTCTTCGGTTGCTGGAGCCCGCTTTCGCAAACCAAAAACCCATCCCGTTCAATTTGAATGGCCACTCTTGCCCAAATTGGAACTCCAAATGAAATCAATTCCAGCGCTATCATTAAGACACTGGTGCAAATCCTGTGACCTTGTTCCAACAGTTCTGCAGCGGAAGGGTTTTGAAAGACGAGTTGGGGAACTTTCCTCGACTCTTGGAAGCAAAGTACTGTCCTTGAGGAACCCTTCACATCACTGCGCCTTGAAGCGAGTCCCGCCCTTGACGCTCAGGACGACCTCAGGTTCCCATCCTGGTTCCCGCAAACGAGCTGACTATGTGTTTGTGGACAGCCCCACTTCAAGTTGTTTTCCATTTTAGACATTCCCACCCACTACAAGCTCACTTCAAGTCGAGGCGAGGTCGAGGAATAGAGGTATACTTGTTTTACTAAGGTCTGAGATCTACATGAGGGCGGGCCTTGGGTTGGTTTGGGATTCATTTGGCCTCGGCAGAGGGCTGATAATCTGATATCCAGGCTGCCGTTGGGTGGGTTTTGGGTTGCCTTGGGGTTGCTGTGGGTTGACATGGGGCTGATTTGAGTTTGGGGCAACGCGCCAAAACCAATCCCAAGCTAGCCCAAAACTCACTGAACCACCAAAACCCACCCCGGCAACCGTCTGGATATCAGCTCTTTGCCGAGTTTGGATGAACCGCAAACCCTAAGGTCTGCCCTCATTAAGATCTCAGGCAGACGTGCGAAGTACGAACCGCAACCACATCTGATCTGCCCTTGGGACGCGCGGGCAACCAGCCAACCAGCCAACCACCCAACCACACCAACCAGGCGGACAGGCCCTAGTAAATATAAGAACATCTCCAAAAAGAAAAGCTTACTGAACATGTTGACTTTAGTCCCAGTCCAAAAGCTCTTTTTCTGTCCGGTTGCATCTGATTCACAACACTCCCATTCGTTGCGCGCAAGCACGCCGCTTTTGCCGCTTGGACACCAAGGCTACATTTGGAAGGCCCGGACTTGAGTTCGATGCTCACCGTGTGACTTGGGTTAGTCGAGGATAAACCAAGCGGTTCCGCCCATTATCTTGTGAAATTCCACGGTTGAGACAAACCCATGCGCGAAAACTTTCTCGGGGGCTCGGGTTGTTGAGGCCGGCGCGGCCACTCGGTCCATCAACATTTGCGACACCTGGAGCTGGAGTCAAGTCCAGAGGCTTCCAAAACATGGAGGGTCCCTTGTGACAAGATCTCAGGGTGAAAAACAAGTTGACTCGCCAAGGCTTCGGAGGGCGGAGTATGACAGGGTCAGCCTACCCATTGAATCCTTGCCAGACCCCCTCACAGAAACTTACGGAAAGAACGGGATGCAGGGGGGGGGGGGGGTTCAAAAAAGCAAAACATCTGAGAGTACTCTTGTGGGTCATGGAGGTGAGTTTATTCCCTCAATTTTGCGCCGACGGGACGAGCAAAGACGATACGCCCATGTAGAGGCAATGTATATGAATATGAATGTGCTCAGATTAATATTGGCTGCTAGATGATTTGTTTCACACCACCGTCAAATACAGAAATCATATTCCCGAAGCTGGGATGCCGTTAACCTTCAAAGTCGGTCATGGACATGGTCATTTGCTGATTGCCTCAAATTCTTTCCGAAGAGTTGATGATGGCAAGCAAAAAGAAGAATAGAAGACGGGCACCAGCTGATCGCATCGATCTGCAATGACTATCACTCGCCATGAACGAAGGGATCCCTCAAAGACCTTCAGCATGAGCAGAAACTGCTCGTCCTATCACCTTTTGGTGAGTGCATGCGGCATTCCATGCTTCGAGGCGGCGAAACTAGGGCCCCCCGGCACCCCACCCTTTGCGGTCACACAACTCTGCCGGCAACCATTTGCGCAACCTGGAACAGTGAAGAGTCGCTCGAGAAAGGCCTTGAGGATGTCAAACAGGCGCCATATGGTCAGAATCTTTTCCCATCGGGATTTGTTCCAGCCCCCTGGAAAGCAAGCAAGCAAGCAGGCAGGCAAGCAGGCAGGCAGGCAGGCAGGCAGGCCATCCTGAACCCGCCTAAACTCACCTAAACTCGCCTTAAGCCCACCCTGCACATACTAAGCCCACCCCAAACCCACGCCAGACACACCCTAAACCTACCCTGAACCACCAACCCTAAATAAGGCTGTTCTTACCCCCCCCCCAAAAAAATGGTAAAAGTAGGGGGCCTGGGGGGAAGAGGGAGGAGTGTTGGGGTTATTGGGTCAAATGTTGTTATCCAACGTTTTAACACCCTTGTTTGATTTCTTCCTATATTTTGTTGTAGGGTGTTAGGGGTGGATTTTCTGGGGGCCGACATTTTTTTCATTTGAAAGAGGTAGCCCTTTTAGTAGTTATTATGTTCTGGGGTGTTGGTGGTTCATTTGTTTATTCCTATTCTTGTTCAAAGTCACTTGTTGTTTCCATGTAATCTCTCACAGTATCGTTATTGTTTTCTTGACCTTTCACTCTTAGTTGGTGCTTACTTGTTTGTTGGTGTTTTTTCATTTTGTATTTTCCTACCATACATTTACATAAAGGACATTCTACTTTCAATTGGTTATAGTCTTTCTGTTTTTCATTTATGTCTTCTTTGTTCTTTTCTCTATATTCTTTTGATTTTTGCTTTATTTCGTCTTTATGCTTTTCACGATAAATCTTGTTCTTTTCCAGTATAGTGTCTTTGTTATTCTCTCTATATGTCTTTTTCTTCTCTACAATCTGCTCTTTGTTGTTTTCGTAATACTCCTTTGACTTTTGCTGTATTTGTTCTTTGTGTGCTTCTCTATACCGTTGTTTGCTCTCCAAGCATACATTACATTGTTTTCTTCCCTCGTTGAACTTTTCTAACAATTGAAAGACTTTACATTTGGAACATTGCTTTTTGTCTGTCATTGGTCTCTATATGTTTAAGGGGTTATTTATTTAGATAAGTTTAAGGGGTGTTATAGGTTAAAAGTTCAGTATAATTATAACATATAAGATTTTACATGTTATTATTATATTATGATTATAATTTCAGTTCAGGATAATAATCTAATTGGTTTGTCTTACTTCTTTCATACATCATTTTAAAAATAATATTAACATCTCTCACTGTATTCTGAACATTAAACTTTTTACTTTCAATAAATAATTTGATATTTTCTTTAACATCTTCTCCTTTCTCTTGACTATAACCCAACATCCATAATATATCGTAAATCGTGTCATATTTTTTCTTACTGATTTTAAGAAACTGTTTAACACAATCGTAAGGTGGTATTTTATTTACAGTTAGAAATATTAAAATATCATCTTCTACATTTCTATTATGTATTCTTTTTATTCCCAACAGACATTTGATTAAAAATTGATTATCTCTCCAAGTTTTACAATTTTTACATATGTCTTCTTCACCATCCATTGAATAATTAATAATATTATTCACAATTTCATTAGGTAAACTCAATTTATACAATTCCATATTTTCTTTTTTGAAGTGACAACAATCATAGCATTTTTTATCGATATAATTATTGATTCCATCACCGTTCATTTTTCTCTTAATATATAAGGTAATATTTCTTTAAGTAGTTTTGGCTAGGGGGTTGCTGGTCGGCTGGTCTGGGTTTCAGGTTTAATTTAATTGTCTTAACCTTCTTGATAGATTATAAAACAATGTTTAATCATATTATAACTAAATAATATGAATAAACAACAGCTAGTTTGTCCCGTATTCAATCTCATCAGCGATAAGGCGCAGTCCCACAGGCACGGGACCCCCAGTCCCACAGGCACGGGACCCCCAGTCCCACGAACACGGGACCCCCAGTCCCACGAACACGGGACCCCCAGTCCCACAGGCACGGGACCCCCAGTCCCACGAACACGGGACCCCCAGTCCCACGAACACGGGACCCCCAGTCCCACGAACACGGGACTCCCAGTCCCACGAACACGGGACCCCTTGACCCCTCCATTTGGGACCCCTTGACCCCTCCATTTGGGACCCCTTGACCCCTCCATTTGGGACCCCTCACCGACCGAACGCTACAAGACTGACTTCTACTAGGTTTGACGGTGGGATGGGATTAACTATTGTGTTTGAGGCCTTTGTTGTTTTTCCTATGTCCCTTCCCTAAAATAAACAAATATCTCGCTTATCAAATCAGTAGGAATTTTATATAGGTCATCTTGTTTATGTTTAATGTATCCCTCACCCCAATCTGATTTCTTTCCCGATGGCAACCGTTGAGCAGTTTCTAAATGTTTCCCATTCCTAATTTTCCCACAATCCCTATTACATAATGGTCTAGGTTTCCAAGTTTCAATGTTTGACCACAACCTTGTTCTCTTCCTATAATTAAACCCGTATTTACAATAATCCACATCATAGTAGTTTAAACCACTCATAAACGGTTGTTCTTTTAATAATCCTGTTTGAGGATTTTCTATTATCCAGTATTTTGGTTTAAAATAATCTATAATTTCAAGGGTTTTTAAAACGATACTATTAGCATAATCAATCTTACGGACACCAACGGTTTTAGCACGACTGTATTCAGTGCATGGAGGAGATGCCCAAATCACATCAAAATCATTGACCCCGAACTGTTTATAGTCCCAACTCAAAATATCAGCATTGATATTTGCATTTTTCAAATCAAGGGAAATGACACTAAAACCCAAATCCCGAGCAACCCCACCAACCGAACCTGTCCCTGAAAATAA